CTCCTGGGCACAGCCTTGGGCCCCTGTGTGCCCCCCTGGGGGCAGCTGTGGTCCCCTTGGCTGTGTCCTGAAGCGCTTTGTTCTCTCCAGATCGCGCAGCTGCGCCACGAGGTCTCCATGCGGGATGACCTTCTCCACTTCTACACCACCACCACGGAGGAGAGCGAGCCCGCCACCACCACCTCCACACCGTGAGTGGGAGTCCCTGTCCTGCCACTCACGTGTGGGCTGGGCAGGAGCCATCACCATCCCCAGGGCAGCACTGGCCACATCCCTTCCCTCCCTTGGTGGCCGTGGGTCCAACCCCACAGAGCTTGGTCGCTGGGGGAGCGCATAGGGGTCAGAGTGGGCAGCCCCACCCTGCCTGCACTGCTCAGGCCATCCCTGCTGTCCCCAGGCTGCGCAGGCACGAGTCCTCGCTGTCCTTGCAGCAGTACTTCCAGTACGACACCTTGCAGCAGAAACTCCGGTGCCTGGAGGAGGAGAACCAGAAGCTCCGCATGGAGGTGAGCAGAGCCAGCTGGTGGATGCCCCTCGGTGCCCACCTGTGCCCTGCTCTCTCTGGGGGACACCCAAGCTGCCCCCTCAGGGAGACAGCAGGTCCTGCCTGCCAAGCTCAGCACCCCCAACCCTCTCCCCCAGGCCACCAACATCGCCACTGAGACCTGTCAGTACGAGGACCAGGAGCAGCAGCTGATGATTGACTGCGTGGAGCAGTTTTGTACGTAGGGCTCGGGGGTCTGGAGGCACTGCCCTGCTGAGTGGGCTGCGGCTGGGGGTCGTGCCCGGTGGTGACGGACCCCGGCCCCCCCCGCAGCCGAAGCGAGCCAGCAGGTCGTTCACCTGTCGGAGGAGCTGGCGCACAGGGCGGAGGACGCGGCGCGGCAGCAGGAGGAGATCACGCAGCTGCTGGCGCAGGTGGCGGACCTGCAGCAGAAGTGTCGCACGGTGAGGGTCCCCTGCCCGTGCCGGGGGGAGGGGGATGCGGGCACAGCGCCCTGACCCGCCGCTCCTGCCCGCAGTACGGCTCCGAGGTGGAGGAGCTCCAGCAGCACCTGACCGCGGCCAAGGAGGTGCAGCAGCAGCTCCGGCTGGAGGTGAGCCCGGGACAAGCCGTGGGTGCCCCCCTGGTGCGGGGTCCTTCCCCGGGGCCGTGCTCCAGCTCCCTCGGTGTCCTCGCAGCTGCGGGATCTGCAGGAGAAGTACGCGGAGTGCGGCGGGATGCTGCAGGAGGCCCGGGAGGAGGTGAAGATCCTGCGGAGCCGCAGCCTGCCCAACAGCACCGTCAGCCGCTACAGCGCGGCCAGCCTCCTGCCCGTGGTGAGCCGGGGGCCGGGCGCCAGGGGGGTGACCCCGCTGTCCCCCCGGCACTGACACTGCGTACCCCTGTCCCCAGGACTCGCTGGCGGCCGAGATCAAGGGGATGATGAGGAAGAGGACGGACAGCTCCTCCTCAGACTACAAGTGAGTGCTGCCATCGGGGGCTGGTGCTGTGCCCTGGGGCAGGGTCCGGCTCACCCTGAGCTGCTTCCTGCCCACAGGAGCTACCAGCGCGTCTTTGAGACCGTGAAGGCCGTGAACCAGGCAGCCAAAGCCAAGTCCTGCTCTGAGTCTCCCCACCACGTTCCAGGCTCCAAGCAGCTGTCCACTGCCCACTCTGGGGGGGCCAGCACCCCCCACAACAACTGCTTCGGCTCGGAGGATGCCCAGTGAGCGCTGGGGTGGGGGGAATGGGGCAGGGCAGCTGTGGGGGGGGGGAATGGGGCAGCTGGGGGGGAACGAGCCAGGTGGGACGGCTCCTGCACAGGGGCTGGGCTGCTGGTGAGCTGCTGGAAGCAGCCTGGGGCAGGGAGAGCAGGGTCTGGCTGGGGCCCAGCACAGCCTGAGGTGCAGGGTAGGGCTGCAGCCCTAACGCTGTGCCCCCCAGCAGGGCCGAGGGGGTCGGGGAGGAGTGCCGGGCAGCCCCGGGCCGGCAGGACCTGGAGGCGGCGGTGCAGCGGCTCTCGGTGCGGCAGCAGAGCCACGGCTCCGAGGAGCGCTCCTTCTTCGAGGCCGAGAGGGAACGCAAGCTCTGGCGGCTGAGAGATGGGGACAGCTCCAGCGGCTTCCTCACCCCCGAGGGCAGCGTTGTCTCCGCCGGGACCAACTGCTCGGGGGGCTCGGAGCTCACCGCCGGCTCCGGCTTCTCGCTGGGCTCCCTCACCTACTTACCCGACAAACTGCAGATTGTGAAGCCACTGGAAGGTGAGGGGCAGAGGGGCTGCAGAGCTGCAGGTGCTCTGAGGGTCCAGCACCCCCACCTGAGCTCCCCCCGGCTGTGTCCCCCACCAGGCTCTGTGACACTCCACCACTGGCAGCAGCTGGCACAGCCCAACCTGGGCGGGATCCTGGTGCCCCGTCCCGGGGTGCTCACCAAAGACTTCAGGCAGCTGGACATCGACCTGGAGGAAGTCTACAGCCTCAATGACCTGGAGGAGGATGATTTGGACCCCAGCTCCTTCCAGCTGCTCCCTACCTCAACACCCGCCAAAGCCAAGGAGCACCCCAGGGGTGAGCTGGGGATGAGGGGACAGAGGGGACGCAGCCCCCGGGGTGCCCCTGCCCTCCTGTCTCGGCTGGCTCTCCCCTCTTGCCGCAGCCTGTCCCTGCCACCCGCCTGTCCCCACGGGGATGCTCCGCCTGCAGCTGCACAAGGAACATTCTCGGGCAGCTGCCCCGGCGGGATGAGCCCTCGCCATCCCCCTGGCGAGCCCCTGCTGCCCCTTCGCTGCCTGGAAGGGGCCGGTCTGGGACAGACGGCATCTCCTGGCCCTACCTGTGCTGGCTGCCCCCTCTGAGCAGGCACCAGACGCAGTTACTGCTGAATCTGTGCCCTGTGCAAGGAGCTTCCAGCCCAGCTTTGGCTGTCCCGCCTGCCTTCCGCCGTGCCCTGCACCTGTGTCCTGACCCCTTGTCTCCTGTCCCTTCCAGTGTTCCTCTCTGTTAACAACCTCCCCCAGACCCCGTCTACCTTCACCATCACCACCTGCCACATCCTCCACCCCACCACCGCGATCACCACGGTGACTCCCAGGTAAGGCGCGTGGCCCCCGCCGCCTGCGCTGCCTGCACCGGCCCCGCCGTGCCCCCGAGCCCTCTCCTCCTCCTCCTCCTCACCCCGGGCCTGGCTCCCTGCAGCTCGAGGAAAGGGCAAGCCGGGGGCCACCTGCAGCCCCTGATGCTCTGAGACGTTCCAGCAACTAGAAATCTCCCCAAATCTGGCTGCTGCGGTGTCTGTGTGCCCGGGGCTGGGGCCAGCCCCCTCCTCTGCATGCAGCACCCCGATGGATGGATGATGGAGGGATGGATGGATGATGGATGGAGAGCCTTCCTCGGGTAGGGGAGCAGCGAGTGCTCCTGGCACTCTGGGGAACCAACGCAGCTTTCCTCTCTCCACACTTGGGCAGCAGCCAGGAACTTTTCACAGCCGGCTGCTGGGCTGTCCCTTCATTAATGAGCACCGGTGATTAGCTCTAATGAGGCCCCCTAAGGCTCGTTGGGGGTTGATGTGAGCCGGAGTTCACTGCTCGACAAAACCCTGGTGTCTGGAAATTGCTGGTGGAGCAGTGACTGTGTCCCAGTCTCTTCTGGCTGCTGAGGAGCAGCCCCCATTTGGGGGGTCTCCTACAGCCCCAGGCTCTTCAGGTGAAGTACAGGGGGTCCTGCTCTGCCTGCAGCCCTGCCTGGCCCCCTCAGCAGCAGCCCCCAGGACAGGGCCCCCAGCTGATCCCCCTCTGCTCTCTCTTCCCCTCCAGTCTGTATCATGCCGTCGTGCCTTCTTGTGGGCCCTTTGAGGGGCTGAGCCTCAGCAGCCCCTCACCAGAACTGACTCCCCCCACGCTGGCGCTTGGCCCTGGACCCCTGAGCACCCCCCTGGGACTCTTCAGGCTCTTGCTGGGGCGAGATTCCCACTTGGCACCAAGGACTGGATCACGGTGGGCCCCCTCACTCCACTCCCAGGACCCTCAGCACTCTGAGCCCCCTGTGCCCAGGGGCCAGAGTGGACCCCCAGGCAGGAGCAGCACTTTCAGCTGGAACCTGGTGGAGAAGCTGCAGCGCCTGGGGCTGGACAAGGTGGTGGCCAGAGGGGGGACATCCTGTGCACAGCCACGCCCAGAGGGGCCTGGGGCACCCAGAAGTGACACTGCTGCAGAGCCCCCAGGCTCAGGGTGACACATCCTCTTCCTCACTCATCCGTGGGGAAATGGAGACAGGACAAGCTTCAGCCTCAGCTCCTGGTGCTGCCCCAGGTCCTGGCACCAGCATGGGGGGCTTTGCCCTGGCTGCAAGGACAGAACCTGGCACTGTTCCCCAGGTATGGGGGGTACAGGGGTTGCTGGCTGACCCTGTCCCTGCTGGGGGAGTGTGGACCCTTCACAGGAGCCAGTTTCTGGCAATAAAAACTGTTCCTGCTTCTGCTGAGCCTGTCTGCAGAGCGAGGGGCAGCTTGGCCCGTTTGGGGCTGTCCACATGCTGCAGGGAAGGGTGAATCCCAGTCTGGGCTCAGGTGTGTCCTGGGGCAACCTGCTGGGGCCAGGGGGAGACCCCTGCACCCTGGGCTGGGCCCCTGGCCAGCACCTGGGCTGGACTGGCTTTTAAAGGGAATGGTGGTTTAGCTCTTTCCTGCTCACTCAGTAGCAATAGTAGCAGCACCCACAGCTTGGGATGTTTCTGGGGGTGCATCTGCTGCTCCCCCCAGCTGTGTCCCTTCCTCCAAGCTGTGCCCCATCCCCTGGCAAATAAATGTGAATTCACAGAGCAGCTGCTGTGTGCTGTGTCTGCTGCCACGTTCTGTGTGTGCTGCTGTGCCCAGTTCAGTCTCTGTCCTGCGCATCCCTCTGGGCTGGGGGCAAATCCCTTCTGCTCTCTGGGGCTGGGGGCAAATCCCCTCTGCCCACCCTCCCAGGCTCTCCCCAGCACAGCCAGGAGTGCAGAGGCCGTGGTGCCAGAGTTTTATTGAGGAAAGGGCACGCACTGAGCGTGGCAGTGCTCTGCCCAGCCAGTCCAGCCCAGCAGCTACGCAGCACCAGCCTCATCCTCAGCACTGCGGCGGCCAAAGTCCATCCAGTCGGGGTAGAAGTGGTCGTGCAAAGCCTCCATCCCCTCATCCTCATGCACAAAGGCCTCGTGCTTGTTCAGCTCTGCCAGGGCAAAGGCAGCAGTTAGAGCTGGAAATTGCTGGAATTTTATCCTCTCACAGGGGCCAGGCTGCGCCCCCCAGGCTGCCCACCCTGAGCTCCCAGTACCTGTGAGGACGTGTGGCAGGAACTGGGACAGGAGGTGCTGCTGCTCCTGGGACAGGTACTTGGGCCAGTCCCGCCGGGCCAGGCTGGGGAGGGGCTGCTGGGGGTCCCCCAGGGCAGCTGGTGGCTCTGCTGGTGGCCGGCACAGGCAGGAGGCCACGGCGAGGGCGAGGACGAGCCCGAGGCACAGCGTCACCTTCATGGCTGTGGGGACACTGAACGGGGGGGAGCGGGGCAGCTGCAGCTCCCGAACTGGGACATGCTCAGCCCCAGCCCATGGACAGTTCACAGTCTCCTCTGTCCCTCCCTTTGGGTCCCCAAGTCCCCTCCATCCCTTTCACCTCCCCAAGTCTTTTCCATCCCCCTCTCCTGGCTGGTCCCCAGTTCCCCTAGAATCAGAGTCAAGGCAGGATCCATAAGGATCAAGTCCCACTCCTGGCTCCTTGCAAGGATGCTGAAAACGCTAAGAGCATCATCCAGCTCCTCCTTGAACTGCAAGAGCTGGGGAGCTTCTCCTCCCCAGGGCACGGCCAGGCCCCAGATCCCCTCTGCTCCTCTCAGTGGGTCTCTGAGCTGCTCTCTCCCTCCCATCTGCTCCTCGGCTTTTCTCCATCTCTCTTTCCCCCCAAGTCACCTGCAGGCAGTGCCAGAGCCCTGTGAGACTCACCTGGGGGTTCTGAGGCTCAGCAGGCTGTCCTGTGGGGGTCCCGGTGGGGGTCTCAGTGGGTTTCTCTCTCCAAGACCAGCCCAGCTCCGTCCTGCTTTTAAAGGCGCTGCCGGGGCTGCCACGCCCCAGGGCGGCTCCACACACACCCAGCCACCGCCGGGGGGGCCTCGGGCACCTGCGTGTGCCCACAGACACACAGGGACAGACAGACCCTCACAGACACACAGACAGGGACAGACACACAGACAGACCCGCACAGCCACACAGAGACAGACACACAGAGATAGACACACAGACAGACCCGCACAGACACACAGACAGAGACCGACACACAGACAGACCCGCACAGACACACAGACAGGCACAGACACACAGACAGACCCAGACACACAGACCCACACAACCACACAGACAAATCCACACAGACACACAGGCAGACAGAGACAGACACACAGACAGAGACAGACACACAGACAGACCCACACAACCACACAGACAAATCTACACAGCCATGCATAAATAATACAGTATAATATACAGGATTTATACAATATAAAATACAGATATATATGCATACATCTCTAATAGATAACACAGCTGATGAATCTATGTAAATACATCCAGGTATCCATACGTGCACACGGACACAGCCTCACAGCTACAGGCATGGACACACGTGTGCACATGTGTGTGCTTATAGGGATGATGACTGCATGAGGAAATGGTACATCACGGACTGATGGAGGGTGGGGATGGATGCATAAGGAATAGCATGACATCTCTATATATGTATCCACACATACATGCACATATATATCTGTATCTATATATTTTATATTTAGATATTTTATAAATATATTTATATTTATATACATATTTTATATATATATATATGCATGTATGTAGGTATGGAAACACAGATATATGTATATATATGAATGTTTGTATAAATACACATATATATGCATATGTTTATATGTACATATCTATATACATGTGTATGTACAAGTATTCACAAATACATATACACACTCCATGATTTTTGGAGTCCCTAACCTAAATGATTCTGGGATTATGTGGATATATATCTATATATATGTGTGTGTGTGTGTATGTATATGTGTATATATGTGTATATATATATGTATATATGTCTATATATATGTATATATATACATGTATATATACGTATATATGTCTATATATATGTATATATATGTATATATGTACATATATATGTATATATATACATGTATATATATGTATATATGTCTATATATATGTATATGTGTGTATATATATGTATATTTGTACACATATATCTCAATGTGTGCACATTTATACATACATGCATACACATACCCACATATCTACATTTAAAAATAGCAATATAAGTGCATATATGTGGATAAACACACATGCACACGTATATACATGTATACAGAAGCCTGTGTGTGCACATACGTGCATTCTCACATGTGTGTCTGTGTGTCTGTCTGTCTGTACCCAGACCCTGGTGTGTGCACACGTTTATAACGTGCTGTGCCCCGGGGCTGGGGGCTGTGCAGACCTGGGGGGCTGTGTCTGTGTGTGTGAGGCCCCTCACCAGACACAGAGCCAGAGCAGATCCAGCAGCTCTGGATCTCTCCCTGCACCCCCAGCAGCTTTGGGGTGTTGTGGCAGAGAGGGCCCCCCTGTCAGAGCCCCTGAAGGTCCTGTCTTTGTCCACCCACCCCCACTGGATATTGACGGTTCCTGCTGCCTCTATTGACCCCCCATCAGTGTATTTGTAGAGGCCATTTGTCTCCTTCCCTCAACAAACCTGTGAGTGACATCCTGGGCTGGGGCACGTCACCGTCCCCTGTCCCCAAGGAGCTGTGTCAGTGCTCCTCAAACAAACACCCCCAAACAAATGGGCTTTGGACGGCCGGGAGCCATCCAGCGCCCCGCGGCCATCGATCGCTCGCTCCGCCGAGCGCCTTGCACAAGGAACAAACAAATTGTTTTCCAATTTCTGCCTTTTAATGGCTCAATCTGGACCAAATGAGCCGTCAGGGTGATGGGGACACGGCGGCCGCTCCCTCCAGGGCCACGGGCTTGGCATCAGCCTGACGCAGGTTTGTTACCAGGCCTCCCCTGTTTGTGGACCCTTCTCCAAGGCTGAGCTGGAGGATGGACCAAGCTCCCCTCACCCCTACCTGCCTGGTGCCAGCTGTCCTGGCAGTGGCCAAATCTGTTGGCAGCCTGGCAAGTCCACCAGGGAGAAGTCTGGCCTAGACACACGAGGGGCACGGGCATTCTTGGCAGAGCAGCAGCAGAGCAGAGGCTGGGCTGTGTCAGGCTGTGGGCACGCACGCACACCCTGGTGTGGATGCTGGCCTTGGTGCTGCCAGCACTGCTCTTGATGTGCAGGGCTGGCCACCTGCCTGCCAGCACCTGCTCCCCGAGGCATGGGCAGGGCAGGAGGCTACCCCAAGGCGGGGCTGGAGGTAACTCTGAGGCACAGACAGGGCTGGAGGTCACTCTAAGGGATGGGCAGGGCTGGAGGTCACCCCAAGGCAGGGCTGGAGGTCACCCTTGGTGCACTCACAGCTGTTTTGCATAACTGCAGCAATTCTGTTTCCAAGAGCAAAGTCTCCCAGGGAAGTGGCAGCAAACTCAGTGCTCTGAGCAGCACAGGGGAGATGGGGTCATTGTGGCAGTGGATGAAGAGCCAGGAGCTGCTCTGGGGGGCTGCCAGGAGCATGAGCAGGTGGCCAGGGTGGGAGCAGCACCCCAGGACACCCTGGCCCTCCCTGCTGCAGGACAGAGGGGCTGGGGACAGTGGGAGATAAGCTCAGGGATTCCCTGGGCCCTCTTCAGCATCTCAGTGCACTTCACACCGCTCCTGTGCCAGAGGCATCTGCCAGCCCCCAGGACCATCACTGCCCTCAGCCAGCGCCTTTTACTGAGATTTCATTCTTGCATGTTGAGCTTGAGCTCAGAAAACAGAGAGCACTCAGCCCCTGAGCTGTGGCAGAGGCTGACCCGGGTGGCAGCACCTCCTGCTCCTCCCCAGAGCAGTTTCTGGGAAGCAGAGGAGCTGACCCTGCTCACGGGACTGACACCAGCACAGGGCAGGGAATGACTCAGCACCCACCCACTCCTCGGCTTTCCCTCAGCTCCCAGCAGGAGCAGCAGAGACAGCACCAAGGGAACTTCCTCTTCCTGCAGTGGGCCAGAGTGGGGGGCAACCCCCAGGCCCCCCAAGGGCAGCGAACCCCACCAGGCCCCCGAGCACTGTGGCTGCAGCACTGCTGGCAACAGGAGAAGGTGCTTTGGCCCCTGGGAGTGATGGAACCCACCACACACGGGCTTTTGAAAACCAGTTTTATTTAAATAAGTTTAAATACATTACAATAAAACATTAGAAATGAAAGCAAAGCCATGTTACTGCACAGGATACGAGCAGCAGCCACAAGGCTCTGCAGCTGCAGGGATGCTCCTTGTGTTAGTCCAACATGCAGCCCTTGGCACGGGTTTTACCCATGGGACAGCTCCTCCACGTGCCTGGCACCTCAGGGCTCGCAGGCACCAGCACCTGAGCTGCAGCCATCGTGCCTCCAGGTCACTCTTCTGTCACTGCTCGCCCAAATCCCTCTGCCTCCAGGAGCCAGCACTGCCCAGAGGGACCGGGTGGCACCAGCAGGACACGAGTCCCCTCTGCCAGGACGGAAGCACAGCTGGACTGAGGAGCCATCAGGACAGGCCGAGTCCCTGGGCTCAGCTGGAGCTTGTGGCTTCAGGCTGGATGGTGCCAGCACCCGTGTGAGCTCTGGGAAATGAGGGACAGCCAGACGAGATAGCATGGGCTCGTGTCAGTTTATTACATCACCAATTACAACAGTCCAGACTCAACAGTGGACCCAAGATCGTTACATTACACAAACCGGCTGGTTTTAAACTTATCACAAGGGACAGGTGGGAATTTCATGGTAAGGATATCTTCTTGCATAAAGCTCCAGTGGCCCACAGGCACTTAAAACCCGTGGACTTTCAGCTGGTCGTCTTTAGCCAGTCCAATCTGCAAGACAGAAAACGCATTCACAGCATGGGGTGACGCCCCTGTGCACCCAAACGCTGCCCCCACCCAGGGATCTGTGTGCTTTTAACAAATCTGGGCTGATTTCAGCGAGGCTGAAGGTGTCCTACCTCCACAAGGAACTGGCAGATGTTCTTGCGCTGGTCACCCTGCAACTGAATCACTTCTCCATACTCCGGGTGCTCAATTACAGTACCATTGCAGGCAAATTTCTGCAGCAAACACACAAAAACCTCCTTAGCACCACAAACATCCCTGCTGGGCGTGGCTGCCCGCCCCCAAAGCCCCGAAACCCCACCTTCTTGAAGGCCTTCACCAGTTTCTTTTTATCGTAGTCATCCGCGATGCCCTGGACTGTGGTGAGGGTCTTCCTGCCGTTGCGCTGCTGGATCCTTATATGGATGTAGTCCTCAGTGCCGGCCGGGAGCAGGTCATCACCCTTACTTGCATCCGCAAAGGGGTCTGCGGGGAGCGCCGTCAGGCCCCGCCCCCCGCCGCCACATTGGCCGCCTCGCCCGCCCATCACGCATACGGCACGCCCCATTGGCCGCCGAGCCTGTCCGTCACGTCCCAGCCCCGCCCCCGCGCTCCTGCCAGTCACGGGTAAATCCCGCCCCTGCTCCCACCCCATTGGCCGCCGCGCCCGCCCGTCATGTTTGGGCCGCGCCCCCACCCCCCCGCGGCTGACGCAACAGGGCCCGGAATAGCAACTGCGCCACGGGGCGGGGCCGGGGCGGGGCCCGCGCGCTCCCCCGGCCCCACCGCACAAAGGGCCTCACCGAAGGGCTGGAGGTTCTGGATAGCGGACATACGATACGCTTCCCTTCCCTCGGCGGAGGCGGCGGCGGCGGCGACGGGGGCGGCTGTGGCGGCGGGAGCGGCTCTGGGCGGAGGATGCTCTCGCGGCGGCGGCTCGAGGCAGTGTCAGGGGGGCGGGACTGCCGCCGACGGCTTATATACCGCCCCTCCGTGACGCCATCACGCACGGCGAACGAGGGCGATGATTGGCCGCCGGGCGGGGGCGTCAGGACGCATCGGGCGGACGCGGCCGCGCCCAGGCCGGCGCGGGGGGAGCGGGGCGCACGCGCGGGAGGGAGGGCCCGGCAGCGCGCGGGGCGGCGCGTGCGCAGTGCGGCGCCTGGGCCGGGCCGGGACCCCCGGGACCCCCGTTCCCCTCAGGGTCGCCTCCGCCGCCCCCCGAGACCCCCGGAGGCCCCAAAATCCTCCCGGGACCCCCAAAATCCTCCTGGGGCGCCCACTCTCCTCCCCGAGACCCTCCAAATACCCCCCTGGACCACAGAATACTCCCCGGGAGCGCTGAAGCCCCTCCAGATCCCCTTGGGACTCGCTCGGCACGGCCCGAAGCCCTCAGGGGGGCACAAAGCCCCTCCAGCCCTCACAATTTTTCTTGGGAGCCTCCAACCCTCTGCGAAACACCCTCGTTATGCCCCCCAAAACCTCTGTGGGACCCCCGAGCTTCCCTGGGTGTCCCAAACCCCCAATTCCTCCTCTGCTTCCCTAAAATCTCTTTGGGACTCTGTATCCCTCCAATATTCCCTTGGGACCCTCAAGACCCCCTCTGGGGCTCCCGTGGCCACCTCAGGGTTTCCCTGGCCACCCACCCACGTGCAGAGCCCCCGGGTGCTGCTGCCCAGGGCTTCATCTCCCTGTGAAAAATGTGTATTTTATGGCTGGCTTTTCTCAAATATTGAAATGAACGTTGCGTGTGTTGTGTTCGAAAGTTACGCCGTGTTAATTTTCTTAAGAAGTGTGTTAAATGTAGTTTTAGGTTACAACATGAAATAGAAACTGTGTAAGATGCTTTTTTTAAAGAGAGGGCTCACACTGAGACAGCAGCCACAGGACACCCAAATCTTTCAGAGAAAAATAATTTATTGCTCTCTTATCGAGTTCTTCAGGATTCAGAGGAAGAAGTTGACACTGACCAGACAGAATCCTTTGTTTGAATGGGATTTATGCATCCTGTATGAGGTGTATGAATATGCAACAGGCTGCTGCTTTTAAAGGTTAATCCTCTGTTAATGTGGGTCCTTTTTTGGGCTTGTTTGTCCAGAAAAAGCTACCCAGACTGTCTGTAACTCTTTGTTTTTATTGTCTCGTATTGTCCTAAATCCTAATTGTCCAAATTTTTGTTACTCTAACCATATTCCTATTGTTATAACCATTTTATTGCTATTAAACTTTTAAAACTCTAAAAACAAGTGATTGGCCTTTTTCACATCCCGGTGTCAGGATCCCTCATTCGTGGAGGAAGTTTCTGAAACTTCAAGATAGACTGGAACCCACAAAAGTGTGAAATAGATTACAGAGAGCAGTGTGGGTGTGTCACTTGGTGAGAAATTTCGGTTTTGGGATTTGTAGTGTGCTGTGGATGGAAGCGAGATGGGGGGCACAGGGTGTTGTCCTGGGTTTCTTCTTCTTCATGGGTTTGGGTGGCATTTTGTAATTGGGCACAAAAGTCTGCATTGTGGGCTCTTTGGGGTCAGTTACTGGGTTGAAAGGGAAAACAATCTAGGTGTCAGTTCTTAATTGGATAGTTTAGTCTTAAAGGACCTTGTAACAAGAGATGTTGGCCATTTTGTGCCTTCTACTGAAAAGCTGAACTCACAGTAGTGAGACTGTTTCACTGACAAGAAATAATGAACACCTGAGTCTAACATGAATTACTGTCTCAAGTGCCTTCAGACCCAGAGAAACTGATGGCTGGGACCCCACATGGGTTTGTCCCTGGGGATTGTCACCTGCTGTCCCCTGGGAAGGCTCAGAGCTCACCTGTGGCTGTGGGTTTGTGGAGACCCAGGGCAAAGGGAATATTTCTGTGTGTTCTGAGTCTCCCCTGACCCCCAGGGGAGCTCTGACTTGGACTCTCATTCATGAGAAAGTTTCCTAGACTTCAAGATAGGCTAGAATGCACAAAAGTGTGAAATAGATTATAGAGAGTAGTGTAGGTGTATCACTTGGTGAGAAATTTAGGTTTTGGGATTTTTAGTGTGTTGTGGATGGAAGAAAGATGGGGGGCACAGGGTGTTGTCCTGGGTTTCTTCTTCTTCATGGGTTTGGGTGGCATTTTGTAATTGGGCACAAAAGTCTGCATTGTGGGCTCTTTGGGATCAGTTACTGGGTTAAAAGAGAAAACAATCTAGGTGTCAGTTCTTAATTGGATAGTTTAGTCTCAAAGGACCTTGTAACAAGAGATGTTGGCCATTTTGTGCCTTCTACTGAAAAGCTGAACTCACAGTAGTGAGACTGTTTTACTGACAAGAAATAATGAACACCTGAGTCTAACATGAATTACTGTCTCAAGTGCCTTCAGACCCAGAGAAACTGATGGCTGGGACCCCACATGGGTTTGTCCCTGGGGATTGTCACCTCTGTCCCCTGGCTGATTCAGAGCTCACTTGTGGCTGTGGGTTTGTGGAGACCCAGGGCAAAGGGAATATTTCTGTGTGTTCTGAGTCTCCCCTGACCCCCAGGGGAGCTCTGACTTGGACTCTCATTCATGAGAAAGTTTCCTAGACTTCAAGATAGGCTTGTCACCTGCTGTCCCCTGGCTGGCTCAGCACCTGCAGCACGCAGGGAGGTGCTGGCAGAGAGCAGGGTGCTGTTCCCAGGCTGCTCACACAGCTCTGGAGCAGGCCAGAACTGACAGGAAAGGAAGGTTTTTCTCTTTAAACCAATCCCCTGGCACTCAGTGCAGCCCAGCTGAGCCTGGCAGGCCTTGGCAAGGCTCAGCAGGGTGAGCTCAGCTCCGTTTTTGCTGTGTGCCCCGAGTGCAGCCCAGCCCAGCCTGGCTCCTGGGGGTCAGCACATCCCGGTGAGCCCGTCGTGCTGCTTGGGAAGGGGCAGTCCCTGTGCTGGTGCAGTGACAGACACAGCTGTTCTTGGCAGTCAGCTCAGTGAGCCCAAAGGGCCCAAACCACGGCAGTGATCTCAGCTTTAATCCTGCTCCTGAGCCCTGATTTTAGGGCCTGCAGCCTGGGCTGAGCTTCTGAACACGGCCATTCCGTGGCTTTCCACGGATAAACCCTGTCACTGTTGGGGTTTATCACTGTTAGAAGACAGCCTTCTCTTCTTCCTTGCTATGGATACACTCGAAAATCATCAATTGCTATTTCTTCTATGAACTCAGCTTTGCTTGCAGGCCAGCTGTCAAGCCCCTCCATAAAACCCCCAAAGTGCAGGGGGTGTCCCTGCTGTGTCCCAGCCAGCACGGGGGCTGCTGCCACAGGAACATCACACCCTGCTCAGAGACGTGGTAAAATGCTAAAAATACTGAAAATATAAACATATTACAAATATTAAAAATACCCTGAGACTCCAGAAACGAGGAACAGTAGATCTCTGACAATTAATGGGGTCAAAAGGCACCTAGATCCAGGCAGAGCCTGAGCTCTCCTCTGGGAGGGGGTCAGAGCTGCACGTGGCAGAACCCAGGACATTCCTCTGGCTGCCCTGGAGTCAAAGACACCTGTGCCTTTGATTTTAGTCCATGGAGAAAATTGCCAGCTTTGTGTGAAGATTTACACGAGAGTTTGAGTAGAATGATAGTTAATTTGTCACAGGGTGAAAAATTAGAATTTTGGGGTTTTAGAATGGGGGTTCAGGAGGCAAGATGGAGGGATTTGAGCGTGTCCTGTCCTTCCTCCTGCTTCTTCTTAGTGTCCATCTTCTGCTGTGATGGTGACACTTTTGGATGGGTTTAGAGACAGACTGTCTAACATAGGTGATGGTATTGGAAAATTATTGTCAATAAGGTACAGGTAGTTCTTTGTACAAAATGTTAACACCCCCCAAGGGCCAGCAGTGTGCCACGAACCGACCTGCTGGACAGACCTCAGCTGGTCAGGGAAAAAATGTAACAGAAAAGAGAAAACAAACAACCTTGAAAAGCAGAGCTGAGGAATCCCAACTCCTTTGGTGGCAGGGCTGGGAAAAAGAAACTTTCTCCTACATTGAGGTCATCTCGAGCACAGAGACCTCGACACGCAGGGAGCAGGAGCATCGCCCTGCTGGGCCTGCTGGGCCTGCTGGGCTGAGCATCTGTGTCTGGAGCTCCCCTGGGATCCCTGCAGCCCCAGCTCCCTGCGTGGGTGCTGCTGCCCTGCTCTGGAGCCATCTCTGAGGCACGACGTGGGTTTGACAGGGTATTGGCAGCTGGGTGCTGCCATCTGTGGCTCTGGCACACGCCACGTGGGTCGGATGTTGCATCATTCTTGGGGGTTTTATTTAAGATAAAGGTAAATGATTTCTCTTGCACCGGGCAGAGGGAATTGTTTGCGTTGCTGTGTTTGTGTCTCTCTGGTGTTTCTGAAGCATCTGTCTCTTCTGCGTGGGGCAGATCAGCTGGAAAACTGGCTGAAATTCTCCTAAGAATATGAATTTGCTCCATGACCACCATGAACGAGCAGATGGTTCTTTTCTCTCCTCTGTTTCTGATCAGATTTTCCTCCTCTCCCAGGGAAGGAGCTGTCGCTAGCAGCCGCACGGTGGAGTAGCCAGACAGGAGAAGCAATTAGAGGTTTACACTCCACTCTTTCTGCTGGAGGCATTTCCAAGTCCTCACTGCAGCCAAAGGGCTGCTCTTCATTTTCAACACCAAACACTCCAGCAGAGCCATCATCATCATCATCATCATCATCAGACGTTCAGTCTGATGTGAGCTGTGGGCAGGCTGGCCCTGCTGCTGAGCCAGGATACCCTAGAGAGTCGATTTATCAGTGTCACTTCTGATTTGCACAGTCCACACTACACATCCTGATTGTGTCCTCACCACGGGGCCCCCAGAGCCTTTAGTCCAACAGCAGAAGGGGTGAGAGCGTGTCAGACACCAGAGCTGAACCCATCACTCAGGAGTGAGCTCAGGGAAGTGTTAACATCCTTTTTTTTTTTTTTGC